GTGGTCCAGTCACATGGGGGTGTGGTCCAGTCACATGGGGGTGTGGTCCAGTCACATGGGGGTGTGGTCCAGTCACATGGGGGTGTGGTCCAGTCACATGGCCGTGCTTTACCGCCCCATTTCACCCTCAACCCAACCGCACCGCTCTCCACCCCCCACCCCTCCTGTCAGGCATCTGGCCATGCGGTATCGCAGCACAGCAGGGGACGAGGTGGAGGACATGGAGGTGCTTTGCCTTCCCACCCCTCCCACGCCCCATCTACCCCCGCCCCCATGTGAACTGTCAGGCATCTGGCCATGTGGTACAGAGCGACAGCAGGGGACGAGGTGGAGGACATGGAGGTGCTGCTCCTTCCCTTGTCACCTCATTTCATCCCCACCCGGATCTACCCTCACTCCCAAATCACACACTGACTCGCCAGGCATTTGGCCATGCAGTACAGCATGACAGCAGGGGACGATGTGGGAGGGCATGGAGGTGCTGCTGCTGCTTCCGTTGTCACCCCCAGCCACCCTCACCCCTAACCCACTCCCGATCCACCCCACCCTCACCTGTTCTTCCCGCCCGGCATCTAGCTATGAGGTAGAAGGCATGGGGTTGCTGCTCCTTCCGGCCCCACCCTCGTCCCATCTAGCATCTACCCTCATCCCCTCCCCCACCCCACTTGCCAGGCACCTGGCTATGGGGTACAGCACGACGGCAGGAGACGAGGTAGAAGATATGGGAGGTGCTGCTCCCTCTATCGTCACCCCCATTCCATCCGCACCCTCCTCTCATCTACCCTCACTCCCAAATCACACACTAACTCGCCAGGCACCTGGCCATGCGGTACAGCATGACAAAGGGGGACGAGGTTGAAGACATAGAGGTGCTGCTCCTCGCTTGTCACCTTCAACCACCCTCAACCCACACATACCCCACTCCCCTCCTGTCAGGCACCTGACCATGCGGTACAGCATGACAAAGGGAGACGAGGTTGAAGACATGGAGGTGCTGCTCCTCGCTTGTCACCTTCAACCACCCTCAACCCACACATACCCCACTCCCCTCCTGTCAGGCACCTGGCCATGCGGTACAGCATGACAAAGGGGGACGAGGTTGAAGACATGGAGGTGCTGCTCCTCGCTTGTCACCTTCAACCACCCTCAACCCACACATACCCCACTCCCCTCCTGTCAGGCACCTGGCCATGCGGTACAGCATGACAAAGGGGGACGAGGTTGAAGACATGGAGGTGCTGCTCCGGGTTGTGAAGAAACACCTGCCAGGTAGATATCAGTTGTTGCAAGCACTTGCCAGGTATAAAGCATTTTTTGCAAGCACCTGCCAGGTATAAAGCATTTTTTGCAAGCACCTGCCAGGTAGACATTGTCTGTTGCAAGCACCTGCCAGGTGAAAACTGGGCATCCTGTTCCTCTCGCATCCCTCCCACAGTCCACGCGTGCAAGCTGCTCTAGACGGCTCCCCACCCACTCTGCTCGTCTCCTTCTGTCCCACCATTCTTCATCAACCACCAGCCGTGCAGGGCGTGTCGGTGGGGGCCATAGCATCGGACTCTCAGCGGGGGCGAGGGGAGCATGCGCGCTCTTCTCCTCTAGACTGGCCATCCCATGTCCCATCAACCACCAGCCGTGCAAGGCGTGTCGGTGGGGGCCATAGCATCAGACTATCAGCGGGAGCGGGTGGAGCACGTGTGCTCGAGGCTGGGCCCTCCTCCTCTTCTTCTCCTCATCCTCTTCTACATAAACACTCAGCCATACAAGGCGTGTCGGTGGGGGCCATAGCATCAGACTATCAAAGGGAGCGGGTGGAGCACGTGTGCTCAAGACTATTTTGAGACGTCTCAAAATGTGCTCAAGGCTGGTACTTCCTTGCTTCCCCCCATTCCTGTCTCCCTCATCTCCTCTCTTCTCCTTTCCATGAGCTCACAGCCGTGCAGGGAGTGTCGGTGGGGGCGATAGCATCAGACTATCAAAGGGAGCGGGTGGAGCACGTGTGCTCGAGGCTGGGCCTCACTCCCCTGGCCTACCTGTGGCAGCGACCACAAAAAGCACTGCTAGACGACATGGTGAGGTGGTGGGATGGGTGCAGTAGGGTTGAGAGGGGGTGGCGTGGGATGCAGTAGGGTTGAGCACGTGCGCTCGAGGCTGGGCCTCACCCCCCTGGCAAACCTGTGGCAGCGGCCACAGGTTGATGGGATGGTGAGGTGATGGGATGGTGGTATGTTCGGAAAGTGATTGAGTGCCAGACTGCAGCCCACTTCACTCACCCCCCTCGCCTACCTGTGGCAATGACAGCGGAAGGTGCTGCTAGGTGATATGGTCAAGTGATTAGGTGGTGGGAGTGTGATGGGTGGAGTGGGGTGGGGTGGGGTGGGGTGGGGTGGGATGGTAAGGAGCAGATCTGGCCGTGCAATGGCACGCTGTTACTTTCTGTGTGAGGCAGCCATTGGCAACCTTTGGAAGAGAAGAGAACGCTAGCGAGCAGCATTGCACTCGACTAAACCCCCTCTCCTACCTGTGGCAGCGACCACATAGAGCGCTTCTTCTAGATATCATGGTGAGGTGGTAGGGTGGGTTGGGTTGGAGTGGGGTAAGGTGGAGTGGGGTGTGGTGATCGCATCGGGCATCCACCCTGTTCTCATAAAAATGGCTGCTGGTTGTTTGGGGGCTATTTGCATCACCATGTTTCCCCCAACTCCACCCTCCCATCCCATTTCCTCCCCCCACCAGATCGCATCGGGTATCCACACCATTCACATCAAGGTGGCAGCACTGGGCCTGCGGCCTCAAGTCGAGACTCATTTCACAGCCACCGGAGAGGTGCAGGCTCACACTGCTACAGTACAGTGTGCCGTCCCAGTGTCTGACGATCCTCCTATTTCATCCCCTCTCTGTGTTCCTCCCTTCACCAGATCGCATCGGGCATACATGCCATTCACGTCAAGGTGGCAGCACTGGGCCTACGGTCTCGAGTCGAGACACAGCCACCAAAGAGTTGCAGGCGCACACTGCTGGCAGTGCTGCTCGACTGCCCACACTGCTACAGTACAGTGTGCCGTCCCAGTGTCTGACGATCCTCCTATTTCATCCCCTCTCTGTGTTCCTCCCTTCACCAGATCAAGGTGACTTTTGAGTCGACTCAAAAGTCGAGTCGACTCAAAAGTCAGTGTGCCGTCCCAGTGTCTGACGGTCTTCCCATCCCATCCCCTCTCTGTGTTCCTCCCTTCACCAGATCGCATCGGGCATACATGCCATTCTAATTAAGGTGGCAGCTCTGGGCCTGCGGCCAGAGAAGCATCTGGGGAAGCGGCTGGAGGAGATTCGAGGCACCATGCATGCCCTGGCAGGGTGAGTGGGTTGGGTCCTTGCTTGTGAGAGCGAGTGTGTGTAAGGGCGGGGAGCAAGTGAAGGCTACAACCTGTGCGGTGGGTGTATTCTCACAGCCATCTGGGGAGGCGGTTGGAGGAGATTCGAGGCACCATGCATGCACTGGCAGGGTGAGTGGGCGTGTGTGTGTGTGGTGGGGGGGGCGCATGGTAGCAGTGTGGCGCATGCAGTAGGAGTGTTGTAGATAAGCATATGGGAAAGCGGTTGGAGGAGATACGAGGCACCAAGCATGCGCTGGCAGGGTGAGTGAGTTGAGTCCTTGCTTTTGAGGCGCCTCAAATGGCGGTTCGAGGAGATTTGAGCTTTGAGGCGCTTCAAATGGCGGTTGGAAGAGACCCGAGGCACCATGCTTGCGCTGGCGGGTGAGTGAGTGGGGAGGGGAGCATGTCTGTGAGGGCATGTGCATGTGTGTTTGTGTTACCGCACTACCATGCGCCCCCTTGTTTCTGCACACACCCGAACCTCTGTGCTGCCCGTTATTCTGTCCTTCTCAAGCCTCACCCTCTCTCCCCATTCTCCCATGCGCCATTCTTCCCAGTAAGTTTGGAGTGAACGTGTGTGGGGAAGGTGGGGAGTACGAAACCCTCACCCTCGACTGCCCTCTCTAGTTCACGCCCCATTATTTTCTTCTCAATCTCAATCCTCACCCACTCTCACCCTCTCTTCCCATTCTCCCACGCGCCATTCTTCCCAGCAAGTTTGGAGTGAACGTGTGTGGGGAAGGTGGAGAGTACGAGACGCTCACCCTCGACTGCCCTCTCTTCAAGGTACCGTGAGCATAATTTATTACAATAAAAAAAAGAACCACTCACGCAGGCATGTTCCTTATTGCACCCCACTTCAAAACACGGGCTTCTTTCCGCCTCAAAAGCGTGTTCATTCTTTGAGGCATCTAAAATGGAAAGTTGTGAGAATGAGCTGAATCGCAGCTCAAACGACATGTCAAGGACGTAGAAGCCACATCGTCTGGTTTGGACGTAGAAGCCACGGCGTCTTGTGTGTACCGTCTTCACTTTCGGTGGGCCTAAACTCGATCAGCTAGGTTTGTTGCTCCTAGCTGCAACAGACCTAGTTGCTCAGATCAGCTAGGAGCAACAGACCTAGCTGATTGAGTTTAGGAGCAGCGAAAGTGAAGACGGTACACACGAGACGCCGCGGCTTCTACGTCCAAACCAGACGATGTGGCTTCTACGCCAAAACCCGATAGAAACCCTAAGAGGCAAAAGCCACACAAACATTAGCGAATGGATCATAAGAACAGGATGCAATCGAGGAAAGATGACGAAAAGGTCCCTGTGGGCGTGGGCGCCAGCCTTCCTCATCTGGGCACCAGCTAGTGCAGTGAAACACAACCTTCCTCTTCCTCTCTTCACATCCCCCCGTCCCCTTCCCCCATTCGCCCCCATGCATACAGCAAGCGCGCATAGTAGTGGACGCCTCGCACATCATCATGCACTTGCCAGTCCCCGTGGTCCCTGTGGTCATGGGATGACTCTGTTGTTGAGTCAACTCAAAAACAGTCCCTGTGGGCGTGGGAGCCAGCCTGACTTATCTGGGCGCCAGCCAGTGCAGTGAAACACAGCCTCCCTCATCCTCTCTTTGCGTCCCTCATGCCCACCCAACACCCCTCTCATACCCACCAGCAAGCGCGCATAGAGGTGGACGCCTCTCACATCATCTTACACTCGCCAGACCCTGTTGCCCCTGTGGGCGTGCTGCGAATCACAGCCTTCCACGTGGCACCCAAGACCCAGGATGGAGCTACTGCTGCTGATGCTCCTGATGCTGCTGACGTGGCACTCCCTCCTCCGGTGATCATTGATGCCAATGACGAGGATTCTTTTAAAGAGGACGACAATGGGACAGCAGAGGGAGCAGCAGGGGGAGCCACAATTGGAACAGGGGCAGCAGCAGGAGAAGAAGTCACGGGGTTGGCTGGAGTGCGGGTGGCAGTGACGGCGCAGCGGCATGGGTTCACCCTCATTGCATGCGACACACATGGCCACGATGCACATGGTGAGTCTATTTGTAAGGCACTGCATAAGGTGCCAGTGACGATGTACAGGCATGGGTGCACCCTTGTTGCGTGCGACACACAGGGGCACGATGCACATGGTGAGAGCGATGCTACCTGCTCTGCTCCCCTATCCTGAACTCTATATCCGAAACTTGAAACTTATCCAACTCACCTGTACCTTCCCTCTCCCCACCCCTCCTCCCTCCCCCACACAGACCTGGCCTCACATCTCTCCATCGCCCTCTCCTCCGTCTCCCACACCCTCTACTCGCTCTCCCTCTCCTGGGCCCGTGCCCTCTACGCCCATTTCTACCTCGCTCACATGGCCAACCTTTCCCTTCATCAGACGCTTAAACCGTCTTCCCGTTTCTTATCCTCTGTCCCGTCTGCCCTCTCCCCCATCTCCCCCTTCTCTTCCACCTTCCCTATCTCTTCCATTCTCCCCCGTCTCCCACCTCCCCCACACAGACCTCGCCTCACATCTCTCCATCGCCCTCTCCTCCGTCTCCCACACCCTCCGCGCCCTCTCCCTCTCCTGGGCCCACGCCCTCTACGTGCACCTGTACCTCGCTGACATGGCGCAGTTCGGCGCCGCCAACTCACCTGTATTTTCCCTCTCCCCACCCCTCTGAGATGGCTTTAAGTCGACTCAAAAGTCACCTCAGGGCGCAGTTCGGCGCTGCCAGTTCACCTGTACCTTCCCTCTCCCCACCCCTCCCCCCTCCCCCACGCAGATCTGCCCTCCCATCTCTCCATCGCCCTTTCTTCTATCTCCCACACCCTCCGCGCCCTCTCCCTCTCCTGGGCCCACGCCCTCTACGTGCACCTGTACCTTGCTGACATGGCGCAGTTCGGCGCCGCCAACTCAGCGTACGTGCGCCACGTCACCGAAGCCGAGTGCGTGGACGGCGTGCCGTCGCGCTCCACAGTGGAGCTGCCACTTGGCGCTTCCTCATTGGATGACACGAGCCAAAGTGATGGTACAGGCAGCAGCAGCAGTACAGGTGGAAGCAGCATGGAAGGTTCTCGGAAGGGATGCAGTGTTGCAGTTGATGTGTTGGCATGGGGCGGTGGAGCCGGCAGTGTGGGAAGCAGAGAAGAGGAAGGAGGAGGGAGCGGTGGAGAGGATAAGGAGGAACAGCAGGGGGAACAGGGGCAGCAGGAGCAGCAGCAGCGGGATGGGGGAGTGAGGGAGCAAGGGACGAGGCAGCGAGGGGAGAAGCACGTGGTGCATGTGAAGGGCGTGTCTTGCTGGGCGCCCTCCTGCATCGGCCCTTACAGCCAGGTACGTGTCGGTCCAATCTCCATCTGCCCTCTTCCCCGAAGCATGAGCGATAGATCCGGCGTCGACCCCCTTTTCCCACTTCCCCTTGTACCCCACTTCCCTTCTTTTCTATCCCCTTTCCTTCTTTTCTCCCCCCTTCCCCCTCTCTCTCCCCCTCCCTTGTCTCCCCAAGTGCACCTCTTATCTCTACTTCTTCCACTCTCCCTCTTCTTCCACTCTCCCTCCTCCTCCTTTCCCTCTCCCTACTTCCAGTCTAGCGCACGAGTCACAATGGGGTGCTGTGGATAGCGGGTCAACTGGGTCTGGACCCGCCTGTAATGGAGTTGGTGAGGGGAGGGGCGAGGACACGTACAGGCAGAGAGGGCGCACGATCATGCTCCGCTCATCCCCTCCTTTCCCCCTTCCTCCCTCCCTCCTTAGTGCATGAGTCACAGCGGGGTGCTGTGGATGGCGTGACGGCTGGGCCTGGACCCGCCTGTAATGGAGCTGGTGGGGGGAGGGGCGAGGACACTTACAGACAGAGAGGGCTCTGAGGAGCTGAAATGCTGTTGCACAAGCTTTCCCTCTTTCCCTCTCTTCTTTTCCCCAGAGTACGAGCTTCAATGGAGTGCTGTGGATGGCGGGGCAGCTGGGTCTGGACCCTCCAGTAATGGAGCTGGTTGGGGGAGGGGCGAGGAGACAGGCAGAGAGGGCTCTGAGAAGCCGCGAGCACATAGAGTTCTTTGCTCACCCTTCGCCCTTTTCCCTTTCCCCCTTCCCTTCCCTCCCCCAGTGCACTAGCTTCATGGGAGTGCTGTGGATGGCGGGTCAGCTGGGCCTGGACCCTCCAATCATGGAGTTGGTGGGGGGAGGGGCGAGGAGACAAGCAGAGAGAGCGCTGAGGAGCTGTGAGGCTGTTGCTGGTGTGGTGAAGGGGAGAGGTGGGGCTGTGGGGTGGGGGAAGGGCGGGGGCGAGAGTGAGGAGGGGATTTGGGGGGGAGAGAGTGGAGGGGGAGGGAGTGGTGGGGGGTGGGGTGGGGGAGAGGGGTGGAGGAGATGGGTTCGGAAGGGGTGTTTGAGTGTAAGGAGGGATTGCATTGCGATGACAGTGTATTTGGCAAGAGAAGTGGGTGTGGGGGAGAGGGAGGAGGTGGCACGGGCAGTTGAGGAGTTCTTTGCAGCTGCCCGGAAGACGAGGAGGGAGATCTGGGGAGCAGAAGGGGGAAGTGGGACGGTGAAGAGGGGGGAGACAGGGGAGGGGGAGGGAGAAAAGGGAAGAGGGGTCAAAGGAGGTGGAGGAGGGGAAGAAGCGGTTGAAGGAAGAGGGGAGGAGAAACGTGATGGGGAGTGGGGTGTGGGGCAATGGTGGGTGGTGGGGCATGGAGGGGAGGAGGGCGGAGAGGAAAAGAGTGGAGAGGAGTCAGCTGCTGATGGTGGCGTGTCAGGTATTGCTAATGCTACACGACAAGGGAGAGAGGAGGAAGAGGAGGAAGAGGAAGAGGAGGAGGAGGAGGAGGAGGAGGGAGTGATAGCAGCAGATCCGTTGCTGCAATATGTAGTGGTACCAGGATTGCCTAAAGGGTATGTGCATGTCCTTGAAATTCACTACGAGTATGTGCCCCTCACATGCCATTCTCATTCGCCTACACTGTCCTCTTCTTCTCCTCCACGCTCCCTTCCCCATCTTTTCCCCAGTTTCCATTCCCTATTCCCTTCCCATTCCACATTCCCCGTTCCCTTCTCCCCACCCCTCCCCATTCCCTCCCCATTCCGTTCCTATTTCCCATCCCCGTTCCCTATCCCATTGTCTCCTGGTGTGACTGCTACAACAACACCTCCTTCTACCAATTCCCCTTCTTCTCAACCACTCTCCATCTTCTATTTTATCCGTTTCCCTCTCTGCCCAACTCCCCTTCCTTCCACACTCCCCCTACCCCGATCCCCCTTCCCCCAGCGCTGCTGTTGAGATCGCTCCTCTCCTTGCCTCCCCATCTCTCTCCTCCTCTCCCTCATCTTACTCTTCCTCCTCCACGTCTTCCGCCACCTCAGCTGCCCCGTGGCCGAGTTCCCTCACTCCCTTGCACCTCCTGTCCACGTCAGCACCCTGCCACGTGTCAAACACACCCAACCACACGTCATCTCTAGGGAACCAATTGGCGGGGATGAGCTTGGGCGAACAAAAAGAAGGGCTAGAGTCAGCAGAGGATGACAAAGAGACAGGGGCAAAGGACGTTGACAGAGCTGTGGGTTGTACGGCAGAGGCAGACAGGCAGAGAGGGGCAGAAGGTACAGAGAGTACGGCAGTGGGGGCAGCCGGGAGGGGAGAGGGAGGTGAGGAGGTGAAGCAGGGGAGGGTAGCAGTGGGGGGAGGGGCGGAGGGGGTGAGCATTGCTGGGCGTGCTACAGCAGCAGCAGGGGAGTTCTGCCGCGTGCACCTGTGGGTGGAGCAGGTGAAGGGGGAGCAGCGGGGAGGGTGTGGCACCAACGTCCCTGTTGCTCCCTTTGGGCCGAGGACAGGGAGCAGTGGTGGCAGAGCAGGGAGTGAATCTGGAGGGGGAGGGGAGGGCGTGGAGTCATGTGCTGGTGGCAGCTTCGTGGATGGGGTTGCTGGCGGATGCGTCAGCGTGCTGTCAGATGCCCTCCACGTGGCGCGACTTGATTGGCCCGATGTTGCGGTGAGGTTTCGCCATTTCTGCTTCACTGATGCATGCGCCATGGTGACCTTACCTACTAGAAGCATGGTTCTCTCGCCACGTCCAATCTATCCATGCTTTGTTTTGAGTCACCTCAAAGTTTGTCTCATCACTCCAATGGTGCCCTTACCTACCTTCCACATGCATGTTCTCTCACCACCGGCAGTCTGTCGTGGTGGCGTTTGAGTCAACTCGAACGTTACGTAGACTTGCAAGTCATGGTGACTCGAAACCCACCCTGCTGCATGTACCCTGGTGGTGTTAACTTGCCATGTGTGCCTCTTTGTCTCATGTTTGTCCTGTCCACCCCGCACCACAGCCCCGATTTTCAATCTCCAACCATTGACTGCCCTTGCTGTCATATGTTTAATTGACTGCCTTCTCTTTTCCTCATGAAGTCTGAACCACTTCCATTCCCGATTGAAAAGATAATAATAAAACACAAACTCTCTTCTTTTCTTCCTGTCTCCCCATCCACAACCCCTTTCCCAGTCCCCCTCCTCCTCCCTCCCTCCTCGACCCCCCCCAACCAACCACACAGATGCTCCGTGTGTGTGCACCAGTGGGAACGCCTATCCCCATCCCTGCCATGTCACTCGCCATCATGGCTCATCTCACTTTTGAGTCGACTCAAAAGCAGACTCAAATGTCCTCCTTCCTCCCCTCCCTCCTCGACCCCCCCTCGTCAACCCCACAGATGCTCCGTGTGTATGTTCCAGTGGGAGAACCGATCCCCATCCCTGCCTTGTCACTCGCCATCAAGGCTCATCTCTCCAAGACCCTGCACAACCGAACCCAATCCCAACCCTCCCACGGAACACCTGCTTCAAGCCACCTCTCTGGCCCTGCTGCTGCTGTGCCGTGCCCCATAGTGGTGCCGGTGACAGCAGTGGGGCCCAAAGCTGCTGCCGATGCTCTCCTGGCAGTAGAGATGACGGCTTTTGGGGCTTGGATATAAGCCCTTGTCAACATCCGTGTGGAGGCCATAGTGACACCATCTAGGCGTTGTGACGTTATGTGGCCTGCAGAAGTGTCAGGAAAGGAGTGCACTGCACTTCTCGTAACGTATCTCTGAATTCCCTTACAGTTCACTCAAATGAGAGAAAGTACCATTTTTAACACTCAACACAGTTACTGATAGAATTGAGTGCAGGTGCAGCACCGTGTGCTTTGACAAGCATCCACATGCACTCTTTAGTAAAATCCTAGTGTGCTTGTATGCATGCCTCCGTTCGTGCAAGCAGGCACATGCACCTGAAGCTACAATTGGGACACTAAACTTTCCAAACCATCATACCCATGCCTCACGGAACCTTCGCATGTGAGGATGTATGTATCAAGTATGGGAGGCGGGGAAAGGTGGAGAAATATAAGGAAGGCGAATCATGGGGAGAGGGAGGGAGGAATGCGGCGAAGAGTTAAAGAGAGAGGGGAGAAGGCGGGGGAAAGGTGGGGTTTCAGGAAACTGGGAGGGTAAAGAGCGAAGAGGAGCTGGAGGGTGGTGAGAGAAGCGAGGGGAAGAGAGCGAACTGAGCAAACGCAATCATCACTCGGTTATTCCAAATTACAAAGCCGAATACAGCCCTATTGAACAGCCATCAATCTACCCCCCACGTTTCTGGTGACGATACGCTACGTCTCAGACGCTCTACGTCCCAAAATCCTAAGATCTCCCTAACCCCCGATCCTACAGCCGTCATCTTTGCATGCCCTGGAATTTCCGCACGATCAGTCCGCTGACATCAAGATACCGCTGCGCGCAGTTACTTAGGCAGGAGGACTCCGATCCGCTGAACTTGGTCCCCGGCGCGGCCGTAACGCACTTGTCCCAGCACACCTCCGTGAGCTTCGCCACCAGCTCATTCAGCATCGCCTTCTGCTTCTCCTGCTCCAGAAACTGCTGTAGCTCGAAGCTCGCTCGCTTCTGATCCGCGTCCATAATCGATGGGGTAGATCACAGAACAGAGAAAGATGCTAGATCGAACCGCGGAAGAGAAACCAAAGGAATCGGATGGCGTGGACGTACACGAAACGGACGTGGAATCCAGACCTGGGAGTGCGTTCTTGTGGATTGTTTGGGGGCTTTCAAAGCCTTCTCTCGTTACAGTGTTTGTTCGCTTTTAGGAACGGGGTGCTGAAGTTTTGTGACTTCCACAGTGCATTGTGTCAATTGCAAACTTCATTACAATACTTGATAGAATTGGATACTCAAAAAAAGCATCAACGCATTGCTTGGTAGCACTTATTCCCTGCCATTATGCCATACCTCCCTACAAATAATTTCACCAATGCATGTGCGTACCAAGCTTCTCCATCGCTTTACAATCTCCAGTTCCCCACTTCGTTATCCCCTATTACCAAAGGCATAACATCACCAGCACAACAATAAATCCTGAAAACGCTGAACCGGTTCCTGAAGATGCACCCTTTGTTTTAGCCACGGAACCTGTGTTTGAACCTGTAAATCACAGGTTGAGCAATGGAAATACGATTGACATAATGACAGCAGGACGTTACCTGAAGGTTCTTGGGGTTCGTTGAGCGATCCAGGTACACCAATTGTCTTATTGGTAGGTGATGGAGATGGTGCTGAAGCTGGGCTAATAGAGCTTGATGGTGCTGGACTTGGTGCTGAAGCTGGGCTAGTAGAGCCAGCTGGTGCTGGACTTGGTGCGGAAGACGGTGCATGCCTTGTTGAGTTTGCTTTTGCCGAAGGTGCCGGAGCAGGTGTGGAAGAAGGCGCTACCAATGAAGGGGCAGGTGCTGGTGCAGGGGACGACGGCTTTGCTGAAGGCGATGGAGCTGATGCATCTGGTCCTTCGACAGGTGGTGCAGCCACCGGAGGCGGTGATGATATAGCGGTTAAATTAATGGAAGCCTGCGTATTTCAAGTTAGAATCTGAATAGAGGACTTTAAACGAGCAATTCTTACATTCGCGAGTGGAGGCACAGCGTCGCACAAGAAGAACACGGATTTGTAGACGCTCTTGAAGTGCGCTTGCGCGAGTCTCATAGTGACGACATAGTAACTGCAACAGATTGTCATGAGCCAAGAGCATGCAAAATGCGTTGATATTCTATAACAGAGACTTACCAGTCGCTGATCTGGGAATCGTTTTCTGTCAGCATTATGGCAGCCTCGAGAATGCTTTGACCACAGGCAGAAGTCGATGCTTGAGTCGAAGGGTTGGAGCACTTCGCGTTATTGCATGTAGCTGACAATGATCGGTAGCTAACAACCGAACCGACATCTTCGTAGCTTGTTAAAGGACAAGTGCTTTCGGTGATGTTCTTTTCTGCAAGAGGGAACAGCCAATAACCGCTACAGAGGCCAAAGACATCCACCGTTACCCCTTTCTTCTGTAAAACCGCGCGGAAGGTGTTACGACAAGCATTATTGTATGACGGACTCCCGACAATTTTCAAAGCGTCGGCAGATCCGTTATTGTAGCTTGCAGAGAGAATGTTAGTTTCCATCTTTCGAAGCGACTGACAGCAGGATTCGGGGTTCTTAACCAAGCCTTTACAAGAAGACACATCGTTCCTCATGACGCTGTTGAAGTTTGCTGGACAGACTGTTCGCTGACCAGCAACAGCTGCAAAAGACAGGCAATGTCAGAGACCCTACGTCTATCTTCATCGTCTGACAAATGAGCTACTACCAAGCCTTACCTCCAAGCCATAGAAGCTGGAAAAGCAGGAAAACGGTAAAGCCAGTCATGGTTGAACCTTGGGTGGAAATGCAAGAATACCAGTTCTAGGACAAATTGTCCCATTTGAATGGAGCGGGGGGCAGTGTCGGAACAAGAGTGAGGACCTAATCCATCCACAAGAAGCATGACAAATTGCTGGCACGGTTACCACGTGTTACAACTCTATTCTATCATTACAATTTTGAAATGACTGAAGTTCATTCCGCACTCCATTTCAATTCCGTTGAAAGTTCGTTATGAACTGTTGGGTCTTTCGCGAACTTTGTCACTTCTCTGACACATGCAAATTGGTGCCTACTGACCCGACAACTTTGTCACTTCTCTGACACATGTAAATTGGGCCTACTGACCCGACAACTACACTAAACTGGAAAATGATCACGCCTTGAACAGGCCCTGATATCACCCGAAAAGCAGAAGCTTGTAGGCACTAGCCATATCCATTTGCTGTCCTGCCAAGAGGTTCACCTCCAGAATGACGAAAGCGTATTTCGGGATGTTGAGACTTGAGAAATAATAGCTCCTGCTGTCAGATTATCACGACTTGGTTTCCAGCCTTTGGCGATAGCTGTGTAACGCTGATTCCGCATTGCCTATTAGGTCGTAGGCAGCTGTTGTTCGAACGCAGGTCGTTTCCGCAAGTTACAAAGTCCTACGCGGCAGTTCCAGCGCCTCCTCATTGCTGGATCGCAGCGTGTTCTAGTGTCGTAAATTATAGATTCCTGTTTCGTCTTATAAGGAGGTCTTTCGTCAGCCCACATGGCGGATAAGCACTTCGAGCCTGTTCCGCGCGACGCGAAAGTGGTCGCAAGCATTCTAAAATCGATGGGTGTGGAAGATTACGAGCCACGTGTCGTCCATCAGGCACGTGTATTAAAAATGAAAAAACCTGGGAAAAAAAAAAACACGAAAGACCGAAACAGGAAAATCCGCCACGTGTCGTCCTGGCGGCGTGTCGTGCCGCCTTCCGTGTCTCTCGTGTATTTAGAAATCCTGGGTTCCCATGAGAAAATTCCGGCATGCTTTGTTGAATTGCCTGACAGGCCTACCGAAACATTATATTAGAACGGAAGGCGGTCATCCCTCCTTCCGCTCCGTTCCGGCCCACCAGATCCTAGAGTTCTCCTACCTCTACACGACGGACGTGCTGGGGAAGCACTTGCGTATGTGTCTGGAACTTTCCAGCTTTCTTTATCTGACCTATCCACACACTTCCCACACATCACCAGCTTCTGGAGTTCTCCTACCTCTACATGACGGACGTGCTGGGCGTGGCCCGTGTCTACGCATGTAACGTGTTTTCCTTTCGAACTCCCTTCTTCCGACCCTATCCTATATGTATCTTTTCTCTCCTTCTCACACACAGCTCCTGGAGTTTGCGTATCGCTACATGACGGACGTGCTGGGCGAGGACCACCTGTACTCAGAGCATGCAGATTCGTTCCCTTCTCCAACTGCTCCTTTCCCTTCTCTATCCCGCTCCATTGCACCAGCTCGTGGAGTTCGCCTATTGCTACATACGGTCATGCTGGGCGAGGCCCGCGTGGCTCAAAATATGCAGCTTCGTTTCACTTCCCAACCCCCTTTTCCCTACTGTACCCCGTTCCCTTCATCTCACCCACATCAGCTCCTGGAGTTCGCCTACCGCTACATGACGGATGTGCTGGGGGAGGCCCGCGTGTACGCGGAGCATGCGGGGCACACGGCTCTCGAGGTGGACGATGTGCGGCTGGCCGTACAGGCTAAGGTTTCCACCTCCTTCTCCCAGCCTCCACCCAGAGAGGTAAGTGGGAGGGCACATATGAGTGTGGGGGAGAAAAGGGGGGTTAGTACCTTGTCTGGAGGTCGGCCCTGGAGGTGGACGATGTTCGGCTGGCCGTGCAGGTTAAGGTCTCCACCTCCTTCTCCCAGCCGCCGGCCAGAGAGGTAGTTGGCAGCATGTGTGTGGGAGGATTGTTAAAGGGAGAAGGGGAGGGGGTGTATAAAAACGGTAGCTCCAGTTTTGCCTGGCCGTGCAGGCCAAGGTCTCCTCCTCCCCCTCACCATCACAGGCCAGAGGCGTAGAAAGTAAGTTCCTTTGCTGTGTTCGTTGCCTCACCTTTCCCCCACAACATGTTTTCCCCCACAACATGTTTTCCCCCACAACATGGTTTCCCCCACAACATGTTTTCCTCCACAACATGGTTTCCCCCACAACATGGTTTCCCCCACAACATGGTTTCCCCCACAACATGGTTTCCCCCACAACATGGTTTCCCCCACAACATGGTTTCCCCCACAACATGGTTTCCCCCACAACATGGTTTCCCCCACAACATGGTTTCCCCCACAACATGGTTTCCCCCACAACATGGTTTCCCCCACAACATGTTTTCCCCCACAACATGTTTTCCCCCACAGCATGTGCCAACCAATCCATCCAAACTACCGTGTATTGCAGGTATTCTCACCTTGTTCCTCTCTTCCCTTAACTCATACTTCGCCCCTCTCAGGTGCTCATGGAGCTCGCCCGAGCACGCCATGCTAAAGCGTCTTGCCCTTTATCTGCTCTCACTCACTTTGTTTCCTCGCCTTACCCATCACGTTTCGCCCCTCTCAGGTTCTCATGGAGCTAGCCCGAGCACGCAACGCCGTGCCCATCCCACCCATCGCCGGGTCGGGCCTCTTTGCCTGGCCCCCTGAAGCTGAGCGCCTGCTTTTGAGGCGCCTCAGAAACTAACCCTATCACGTTCCACCCCTACCACCAGGTGCTCATGGAGCTCGCTCGAGCACGCAATGCCGTGCCCATCCCGCCCATAGCGGGGTCGGGGCTCTTTGCGCTTCCTCCTGAGGCCGAGTGCCTGCTACAGCCCAACGTGCAGATCGCTGTTCCACTGCCCGGCCCTGCTGCCCGAGGTATGTGCCACCCATGCCTGCCCATCACCCTTGTGTGAGGTGATAGGTGGTGGTAAGCGGTAGGTGGTAGCTGTCTATCACGCCATCCAGTCTTTGCCTTGCCCACTGTGGCCGAGTGCCTGCTGCAGCCCAACGTGCAGACCGCTGTCCCTCTGCCCGGCCCTGCTGCTCATGGTGAGTCGTGGGTGCCATGCGCGGTCACCCTGTCTTTGTCACATCAGCTGCTCTTTGCACTCCCTCCTGAGGCCGAGTGCCTGCTGCAGCCCAACGTGCAGATCGCTGTTCCTCTGCCCGGCCCTGCTGCCCGTGGTACGTGCCATACCTTGGCACCCTCATCTTAGTTGCCATGACCTGCTGCGCATAATATGTGCCATCACCCGTCACCCGCATGGTAGGTGGTAGCTTAGGACGTGGCACCTCTAGGGAGTAAGCTAGGATCGTGGTAGATTTGAAGCTGTACACCATTTCAGACACGTCGATCTGCACACCGGTGTGCATACACTACAAGTATGCATTCTGGTAGACACACCGAGCCAGGGGTGCCAGGATCAAAATTGCAGGATCGGGTAGGTAGGACCCCCAGCGGAATACACCAACAATGGAAACGTTATCCAATCATAGCGAAGAACAACTGGTCGTTATGCAGTCATTTTCGCCTGCGACCATGGGCGACGCGGATCGATCCTGGCTGTCACCTGTGGCGCGATCGGCTCTCCCGCCGCCCCAAACGCACGATCGATGTGTGCTCGGGGGCACATCGATTGTGCGAGCCGTAGGTGCCAACATTTTGGGGTACACTTTACTGTACACTTGCGAGTTGTGGCGAAACCGGATACCAGTCTCATGGCGATGTCACGATTTCACTGTACAAGCCAGGATCGATCCTGGCTTCCTCCGTAGAGGTGCCGCGTCCTTAGAGCTGTCAGATGTTCAAGCTAGTGTTTGTGCGGCCCATGAAGCCGAGCAGCTTGCAGATCTCTCTCCCTCTGCCCATTGCTGCTGCGCATGGTATCTGCCATACCCTGTTTGCCCTTGTGTCAGGTGGTACCGTAGGTGATAGGCGCTAGGCTTCGTAGTAATTCTTAGGCTTCTGACGCCGAGTGTCTGTAGCATGCGCACGCACCAAAGGTTAGCTTCATGCTGTGAACATGTGGATCGAGCCTAATTCTCCTTTCCCTGTCCGGTATCTTTTCCCCGATGATGCTCCAGGATCGCACAAGAGGCAGCGAGAGGGAGACACAGGAGGAAAAGCAGGAGGGCGGGGAGGAGGGGGGAAGGGAGGGGACGCTGTGGCAAGAGTAAAGAAGGAGCAAGGGGGAACGGAGTCGCTACAAGATGGTAAAGCTGGTGTGGGGGGGGCTAAGGTTTCGTTCTCCCTTGATGCTAGAAAACGATGATTGATGTAACAGTGGTACACAGCCTGGTGGTAACATAGAGAACATTTCTGCAGTATGACCATTGGTATAACCTCGATCTACAGTGTTAACACGTACATGCAGAGCGATGAGGATTATGAAGGGACTGCAAAATGGTCAGTAAACATTGTGGGTTGAGCCTCAGTAGTATAGTATTATAAACCGTAGAGGTGCATCCCTAACCGAAACAGCCCGAACCACATCCTCGTGACTTGCGGACCACTTGTGTGTGACAGGCTCGGCTCGGCTCGAGGCTACCACATTTCTGTCCTGCTGAACGCCCAAGCCGTCAGCTACTCGAGCCCACGCGACTTTCCGCACCAGTCGATTTTCTAAATGAATCTCTCTGAAGCGCGACGAAAGTGCCACAAAGTGGGACCTGACATTCCTAAAATATTCAGCAAATCCAGCGTGAAACGCCAACCAAGGCAGAACGCCACGCCGCAGACATCGGAATCTGTCCGAGCGCGCGGAATTCGCGGACCTCTCTTCGCGTCGTTCAAATTAGTCATTATGGAAAAACGCTTTACGCTTTTCGCCGCGAGACGGTACAGCAGATCACGAAGAGTCCTCGACTGTTATGTCTGTGAAGTAGGATCGAGCCCTCCAAGGCATGGCGACGGTCGTAGGCATTTCCGAAGGAGAAAGCGAGCGGGAGACGGCGGTTCCTAGAACCATAGTAGCAGCTGATTGGGGATTCAGCGAGCGAGTGAAGGTCGCATGTCGCCTGCGACCGCCATCGCGAGCAGGACCGCTCGCCTGGGCTGTAGCTGCCAATGTACGTTCTTAGTCGGTCTGGCGTTTGAAACGACTCAAAAGTCTCGTCTCCGGAGGTTCTGTTCGTCGCTACCGCTCCTGGTGCTCCTGCTTTAGTCTCTGTTTCTTCATAGAGCGCATCGCGCGCTAAGAGTTTCCTTCCCAGCCAACATCATCCCTACTGCTCGTATACCTTGTTCTTCCCTCGTCAGACCGTCGGAATCGCGAACGTTTGACGCCATTCTGACCTTATTTGTCACGGCAATAAGTTTCTTTCCTGGCTTAGATTTTTCCTCATTTCTTTACCTCTCCCCTTTCGTTTCCTATTTCGTTTCCCTCATCAGACCGTCGTCGCCGCACGCAATCCCAACGCGTTAACGCCGTGCCCGTCGCCGCAGCCCACTCCCCGCTCCAGCACCTCCGATTCCTCCTCCAATTCCGCGCCTCACTCGTCGCATCCCTCACGCGTTTCGCACACACTTCAGCCGACTGCTCCCCTTCCTGCGAAGGCGCTGACCTTCGAGTTCAACCACGTGTTCGGCTATGATTCGTCCAACTTTGAGGTGCGCTCTATCCCTTTGAAGCACAAGCGGGAAGCTCTTGCTCCTTTTGACTTACCTGTTATTCCGCCTTCAGTTGTCAATCCACTTTTATGAATTAGGCCACCTTCGATATAGATACGATGCTCCCTGATCACCAGTCCTGGTTACGATTCCTGATTATCCATCTCCTCCGCACGGTCATCTCACTCCCCCTGAGTCTGCCATCCACCTCCTGCCTGGCAGGTATACACGGAGTTTTGCAAGGGAGCGGTGGAGAGGGCTGTGGCGGGGTGCAGAGCGGTGGTGCTGGTGTACGGGCAGACGGGCACGGGCAAGACGCACACCATCAGCGGAAGCAACTTGGAAGCGGGAGTTTTTCACCATGCCATGGCGGATGTTTTTCGGGCAGCACAGAATGCCGACGTGTCTCGTTACAGTGCCAGCTGTCCGACTGCTGACGTCAGTGCAGCTGAGCGTGAGGTTGTGGGAGCGTTGGATCTGTCCACGTTGGCAGCAGCAGACACGTCACCATCAGCTGGGAATGCCACGTCATCATCCCCGGGCGAGAAGGGACCTCCAGAAGCAATTCAATCGCCACCGTTGATGTGTTTCCTATCGGTGGTGGAGATTTACAACGAGAGAGCTGTGGACTTGCTGCAGGGAGCCAAACCCAGCTCCGTGCAAGTGAAGGAGAATGGGAGCAGTCGCAGTGGCGACAGCTCTAAGACCAGTTCTGGCAGCAGCCTCTCACACGCAGCAGGGAGGAAGCTTATAACGGAGCAGCAGCTGCACTCAGTGGAAGAGGCAGCAGTGGCGTTTGAGTTGGCAGGGCACAGGCGCAAGGTGCGGGGCACAAGCAGGAACAAGCAGAGCAGCCGCTCCCACATGCTCTATGTCATTCGGATCAGACGAACGCTGCCGGGTAGTGGAGCAGAGGGGGGAGCGAAGGTTACGGAACGGAATGAAGGGGATGAAGGGCAATGCAATGAAGGGCACTATAACGAAGGGCACTATAACGAAGGGCTGTATAGCGAAGGGATGCTGTACCTGGTGGATTTGGCAGGCAGCGAGAGCTGCAAGGGAGAAGACGCAGCAGCAGCAGCAGCAGCAGCAGCAGCAGCAGCAGCAGGAGGAGCAGGAGCAGGAGCAGGAGCAGGAGCAGGAGCAGGAGCAGGAGCAGGAGCAGGAGCAGGAGCAGGAGCAGGAGGAAAAACAACAGGAGGGAGGGAGCAGCAGCAGGAGGGTCCATGGTGGGGGGGAGAGAGCCCCGTAGTACCGCTCATTACCGGCCTTCCCAAGGGGTCCCTCGTGCCGCCAATGGCCCACCGGCAGAAGCAGTACCAGCAGAATCGGGGACAGGGTCAGACACAGCAGCAGTGCAAGGAGCAGCAAGGGAAGGATGCGCAGAGGCAGCAGCAGCAGCAGCGGCAGGTGGGGGCGCAGAGGAGGGTGGGGCAGAGGGAGGCGAGGAGGAGGGAGACGGAGAGCATTAACAAGAGCCTGCTCGCGCTCACCTCCGTCCTCACGCACCTCAGCCAGGCTCGGCCAGGCCTCCCGCCGTACCGCCAGTCTCTGCTCACGCGCCTGCTGCAACCGTGCCTGGGAGGCAGGTCCGGTAGTGGTGTCGGTGGCAATGGGGGAAGCAGCGGTTACTGTGCTGTGCTGTTCTGCATTGATCCTCAAGACGTCCACGTCAGCAAGACCACTCTCAGGTGATTATTCAGGTGTCCCACTCCCAGGTGAGGCAGCCCCTATTCAACCATCAGCGTCGGCTAATGCTACCAGTGTTATGTGATTGTGCGAGGTGTCGCTAATTCACGCACTGATTTTGCCATGTTTTCCTCAAAATATTGCTCTTCTATTACATCACTTGCCCAAATCAACCCATCCATTGTTGCCTCTACCGTCCTTTTCCTCTCGCTATCATCCCTCCGTCCGTTTTTTACAGGTACTCTGCCATGACGCGGCGAATCCGCATGGACTATCAACCTTCGATACTGTCACTCTCCGCACCCAAGCATGCCCCTCCAGTCGTCCACAGGCCTGCGAGGCGTAGACCAGCAAAGGCCCCTGCTGCTGAGGCACACTCGCACAGCCCCACACCGGCACAAGGGGAGAAACAGAAGAAGTGCGTGCGGACAGGTGCGGACCGGTTGGGTGAAGTGGAAAGGAGGCGAGTAGACGCCAAAGCGGGTGCAGATGGGAAAGGGAAGGAAGGAGAGGTGGAAGAGGAGAAGGGGGAGCAGGGGGGGAAGATGGTAGTTGAAGAGGAGGTGAGGGTAGTGGTTGAGGAGAGGGAGGAGAAGGGGTTGAAGGAGAGGAGCAGGGAAGGTGAGGGAGAGGAGGAGAAGAGTCAAGTGGTGCTACAGGAGGTGCAGCAGAGCACGGTTTCGGCCCAGCTGCAGCCTCAGGAGGGCATCACGGAACAGCAGCAGCAGCAGCAACCGCAGCAGCAGCGTCCTCATCAGCAGCAGCAACGGCAGGTCTCACAGCAACGCGGTATTCTGTCAAAGACACAGCAGCAGCACGTGCAGGGCGGACAGTGGCACGTGCATAGGCCGAGGCACGTAGCTAGCAAGCATGTGGATCTCAGGGAGCAGCAGGTGTGGGCGTTGCAGCAGCGGGTGCAGCAGCTGCAGCAGCAGAACCAGCAGCTGCAGCGGCAACGCCTGCAGCTGCTGCTGCCGTGGCGCAGAGGGGGAGGGGCGCTTGGATGGACGGCTGGATGTGCAGGTGCGTCCCTGGACGGTGTAGATGGCGTTTCCGTGAATAATGTGGAGCGGGTGGTGGGGCCAGGTGCTGCTGCTGGTGCTGGTGCTGATACTGATGAAGACACTGGTACGGTCAGGTATGGGGCATGGGCAGCAGCAGCAACAGAAAGAGAATCAGCAGGAGGAGGTGCTGTAGAGGCGCTGCTGGCAGCAGGCATGGACATTTCTTCTGATTCTGGCAGTAGCTGTGATGAGGCTTCACACGGGGAGAGTGCTGCCGCGGGGAAGGTGACGCAGTGCGGAGGAGAGGGAGGGGAGAGAGGATATGAAGAAGGGGACAAGTCCGTGGGGCATGGTGAAGAGAAGAGGAGGAGGAAGGGATGGAGCTGTGTTGGCGGTCAGATTTTTCCTGCTGCAGGTGCAGCAAGGAGTGCACCGCAGGAGCACGCACTTCAAGACAGGGTTTCTGGGAGTGTGCTTCTAAGGAATGGGACTGAAGCAAACGTGCTTAAAAAATGTGGACTGAATGTGGAAGGTGATGGGGTGGCCTGTGAGGGAGAACCGTCAGGGGAAGCAGTGCTCGAGTGGTACAATGGTTACGGTGACTATAGCGATAAGGAGAATGCTTTTAGCGAGTATGCTGTGACTGGTGCTGCTGCTGCTGCTGCCGCTGCTGCCGCTTTTGACCCATCATTCTTTGGTGCTTCCAGCAGCAACGGCAGCAAGGGTCTTTTGGAAGGTGGCTATGGAGATGGGAGCATCGCTAACAGCAGTTCTCTTTCTCCTGAGAACAGCATCCAGTCTCCTGACTGCAGCAGTCTTTCTCCCGACAGCGGCAGCGGCAATGTGTCTCCCAATCCCTCCTCACTCAATACTACCTCACCCAAGTGCTGCTCACCCAGTAGCTTCTCTCCCAATAGTTGCTCGCCCAACACCTCGTGCTCCGACCCTCTCACACCTACTGCCCCCATGGCCACTCCCTCCACCACCAGGTCTACCTTCTCATTCTCATCCGCATCCTCCACCTCCACTTGTGCAGCGTCAACACCACTATCAACATCAACATCTCGATCCACATTTTCGATACCTATTTCTCCGCTTGGTCAGCAATCGCCAGCAGCGTTTCATCAAACGCTGCATGCATGCACACCCCCAACCATCCTTCCCCGTTTGCTTCCTCCATATCTGCCATGCATGGTTTCGAAACGACGATCTCCTGCTGCACCCGCACGCACCGCATCCGCATCTACTGCTGCTGCCGCCTCTCCTGCTGAGACCAACATTGCTGCTGCAGAGCTTGGGTGTGATTCGAGCCATCCCCTGTGCCACCAGGCGAATCCGTGGAAGTGTGCGGCTCTGGTGTGTACAGCCATGCAGTGCATTGCACTGGACGTGCAGAGCAGAGGGGACGGGGAGGAGGAGGGAGAGGACGACAGATTGTTTGATGAAGCGGAAATTTGCTTGAAGCAAGTGGAGAGAGGGGAGGGGTGGAGGAAAATGGACCTGGAAAGGCATCAAGTTCTGGAAGGAGAGGATTTAAGTGGTGCAAAGGAAATTGTGAAAGGGAATGTTGGAGGCAGGAAGAAGGTGAAGGAGAGGGCAGTTGTGCTGCAGCGCTGGTTGGCGATGGCATGTGTTTGCTTTAGCAGCCAGGATGATGTTGTTATGGTGTAGTTGGTAATTGAACAGGCTGTGCCGTGAGGCTTATACCGTATTGCTTATTTGATGTACCCATGAGGTTTTATATTGCTGGGGAGAATGTTGAACGTTCATGCTCACATTTGTTGGACCTAATGGAGCCCTTCTTTGTCTGGTTTATGCACCAAGTTTCATGTGCGACTTACAGTATGCAACGGCATTTGGTTGGCAGAACGATCTGTCCTATATAGAGCTTATCGCGTAACGGGGATGCATCCTCGATCATTCCGCTTGGGCATGCGCTAGCAGGCTGCTAGTAGTAGCATTGCCAAACATTTCCCTCCAAGCTAGGAACCAAGGCTATCAAGCACAAACCAGCCTTCGATTTCGGAGCAATCAACCGAGGAGCCTGATGGCTGCGAAGCACGATAGCTACGAACTCCTAGATTCTTGCCTTTCCAATTATGCATGCGATGCAGGATAGTCGGGAACTTCTAGATTCTTGCTTTTCAAATTTCTACATGCGATGCCAGTCTGTAAAGGCTCGTGGTTTGTCGCTCCCATCGACAATGCTTTCGCGTAGCGCGAACGGGTTGATCTTGGTTCAAGGAACACCTGCTGAGTATTTCACGTCGTCGATTTATGCACTCCAGGCACACGCAAGTTTCCTCGCTCTTAGAATCCCCCTCGAGCTCACCGCGTTCTGCGAAAACGAAGCCTGCTTCAGGCACAATGAACCAAGCGTTTTCCGTCGCGATGGCCTTCTTGGGATTGTATGCCTGTCTTCCTGGTGAAGTTCCGTCCTGCTACCCACGGAAGAAAGCTCTGGGCAGCAAAAGGCGAATCCTGGTTCTTCCATCGCAAATTTGCGAACCGGATTATTCTACTCATCAACCGCTCCTGCCTATTAGTTGGACTTCAGGGTTTCTTCACTCTAATCTGGGCTGCTATCATGACCGCGCGGGTCTATGTTTATGACAGGGATGGCCTGGTTGACTTCGAGGCTTCCTTTTCTGAAGAAGAGAAAACATGGCTCCACGTTCCTTACCATCTGCCTCCTCCAAAGCCATTTGTTTCTCTGCGCGAATCCGAGGCATGTTTGGAGCATGAGTTCTGGCGGGACTACTCAGAAGAGGATCAGACATGGCTGTATGTTCCACCAGCATCGTCACCGCCCTATGTTCCACAAACGCAGCGTCTTGAAGTTGCTGCTCGCACGGATAAGACCCACGGCAGCAGCAGTAGCAGCAGCGGTGGCAGTGTACTGTCGGCTGTGAGCTCCACGGGTGAAAGCACTCCGACTAGAAGCAGTGCCAGCAGCAACCGGAGCACCAGCAATTCAAAGGTTGTTCCAGGCAAGGTCGCGATGAAGGGGAGAGCAGACGCTCAGGAGATAAAGCTGTCTACTCCCGTCGCTGGAAAGGCATCTCAAGGTCAAACCGCTGTTGCTTACAAGAAATTGTCTCGTCCAGAGATTGATGCGGCTTTGAAGGTGCCTGTGACTGAGAATTCCATGAGGCCACTCAGTGTTTCTCAGAGGTCTCTGCAGTCACATAATTCTGCCAGACGGCCTGCGAACCCAGCTGCTGCTGATGGGAAACAAGTACAGCCATCCAATGCTGCTGAGAAATGGGGGAAGCTTGCGACTCAGCCAGTGAAGTCTGTTGGTGTCACGAAGAAATCAACAGCAGCAGTTGATGCCTTTGCGAAGCCAGTCAAACTTCATGATTCTTTATTGGAAGCAGCCAAGTCTGGCAATGCTGTTAAGAAGCCAGGGAAGACATTGGCTGTTGCTGAGAAGTCAGTTGAATCCGCTACTCCTCCTGACAGTCGTATGAAGCAGATTCCTGCTGTTGACAAGTCGCCAGCTGTCAGCTGTGATGGCCCCACAACCAAGGGAGCTCTTGGAAGGACCCGGAGTGTGCAAGCAGCAGCCAAGGCAACACTTGGCAGTGGAGTGGCAGTTACACCACCTGCAGCTGAAGATGCTCTAAGACGTCTTGCAAGCAGTGCATCACGCATTCCCAGGCCTTCTACCTCAAGACAGGCAGCAATGGTCCCCATGTCTGTGCCTGTGAAGGCCCATGCCACATCAGCAGCACACAAGGAGGAAGCTGCTGCAAGGATCACACCAGCATACGCTGCTGCAGAGACGCCTGTCCTAAGATTCGGTTTTGGCAAATCGACAAAAGTGGCGTACCAGGAGTGGCAAGCAGCAGTTTCAAGGAAAAAGGGGCATTTGTAGGTTCTCACGGCTGTATCGGAACGTTCGGTGATTGGTCAGAATGTGGAGGATTGTTGAGAAGCAATTGATAATGGTGATATTACTGCAGGATGACAGATGTGCATACATAGCTATTGGTAGTGAATTCCAAACGAGTACGGTATTGATGATTGCATTTGATGAGTGTTGTTGAGTGTCGTTGCTATTTGTTTCAACATGCTTTGCTAGCTCTATACACACATTGTATCCTCATAAAGCACCGATTGACTAAAATTGGAATCCTAACCTGCAGATACTGCTCACATGTCTGCGCTGCGCATCCATCACAGGCTGGGGTAGGTACATGATGCACATGATAGCAACCAATCTTCTGGTGTAAAACCAGCTGCTCTTGGTCTTTCTGTAAATCCTCCTTGAAAAACCTTCCTGCCAGCTCAGATGGATGCCACACCGCCTCAGCAAATCCCTGCCACCTCAGCAATGCGGGAAAACTCATCTATGTCAATTTCGCCGTTGCCTGAAGGGGGGTACAGGGAGAAATTGGGCGGGGGAACAGAGAATTTGGAGGGGGGTTGACAGGGAGAGATTTGGAGATGGTAATCAGTGGACAGGTGCAAGCATGTGTGGATGGGTGCAAGCATGCGTGGACAGGTGCAAGCATGTGTGGATGGGTGCAAGCATGTGTGGGTGGGTGCAATCATGTGTGCATGGGTGCAAGCATGTGTGGATGGGTGCAAGCAAGTGTGGATGGGTGCAAGCATGTGTGGACAGGTGCAAGCATGCGTGGGTGGGTGCAAGCATGTGTGGATGGGTGCAAGCATGTGTGGGTGGTTGCAAGAAAGGCAGAAGAGGTGTGTGATATATACATACCTTGGTTGAAGGACTCAAAATAACCATCTGCTGCTGCACTGTTCACAGCATAGCATACCATCCGTGTCCACACTGTATAGCATCCACGTCAGCACTGTGGAACATACCATCCACGTCAGCACTGTGCAACATACCATCCACGTCAGCACTGTGAAACATACCATCCACGTCAGCACTGTGCAACATACCATCCACGTCAGCACTGTGAAACATACCATCCACGTCAGCACTGTAGAACATGCCCCTGATCTCGTCGTCGGAGAAGACAATCCCGAGGGCCAACACGCCCCTCTTGAGCGTGCGCTGCGATATCTTGCCCTGATCATTCACAGACACATTCACAGGCGGATTCACGTCGCATCCAAGTCGCATACATGGGGTATCCAAGGGGCATCCAAGGCGCATCCACGGGCATACAGAGTGAATTTGATGCCAGTCGTGTCCGCGCACTCTCGGCACCATCCCAAGATCCAACAAACCTCTTTATTCCCCTGTTTTGTATTGCCCTTGACTGCAGCACTGTTATGTAAGTCTATGACTTTTAAGGCGCCTCAGAAGTTGCACTATCACGCATGTCTATGAGCTTGTACATTCTCTGTTTCCTTATTGAACAGAACAGACAAAACTGGTACACGACGATCAAGCCATAGTGCATATTATACTGACCTGTATGATTATGAACATATGTAGTGTACTCGATGTTTCCACTGTAGCAGACTCACAGGAGCTGGTACATGGCGATGCGGCCCTGCTGCATGTTCTGCTCGTCCATGTATATAAAAATATCTATATATATGTATTAAATACATAAGCATTGCACTGTAGCCCACTCACAGTTCGCTTATCAGAGAAGAGCTGGTACATGGCGATGAGGTCCTGCTGCATGTTCTGCTCGCCCATGTAACCGCTCATCACCGCAACGTACTCCTCAAAATCTATCGACCCATCGCCGTTGCGATCCATGGTTGCAAAGATCTCCTCGAACTCCTGCGGGGGGGAAAGGGATGGGGAGAGGGGGAAAGATGGAGGAGGTGTTGAATGTGGGGAGTGAGGGGGAGACGAGGGATCCATGGTTGCAAAGATCTCCTCAAACTGGGGAGAGGGGGAAGAAGGGTGGATGGGGAGGTTTTGAGGAAAAGGGGGGGCGTGCCTTAAACATCGGCGTTGCGATCCATGGTTGCAAAGATCTCCTCAAAATCCTGAGGGAGGGAGAGGTGGAGCAGGGGGGAAGGGGAAGTTTTAAGGAAATGGGAGGGCTGAAGGTTTTTTTTGGCGCCTCAAACATCGCAATTGCGATCCATGGTTGCAAATATCTTCTCAAAACCTTAAAAACCCGAAATTCTAAACTCCTGAGTGGGGGAGAGGGGAGAGAAGGTGTTTGTGAAAATAGGGCAATTGGATGAGTGGAGAGTGGTGGGGAAAGTGGGGTAAGGAATAGCGATATTGAAATCACTTTTGAGATTTCTCAGAAGTGATTTGAAACGAGGGACGAAGCACAAGGTGCAGCAGCACAGATGACGCCTTTTAAGGCGCCTCAATATACGTCTCATTTCAATTTTTATACTGATCGATTTTTTGTTGCTTCAAAGCGTGCATGTAACGTCCAAACGAGGGACGAAGCACAATCTGCAGCAGAACGGATAACGCTCGTTCAGGGGTGGTTTAGAAAAATGGTCAAACAAACAAGCTGCTGCGCATTGTGCCAGAAAATCATGGGGATGTGCATTGGATTGCTAAGCGCCGTGCATTGGAGTGCTAAGCGCCGTGCATTTGAGTGCTAAGCGCCGTGCATTTGAGTGCTAAGCGCCGTGCATTTGAGTGCTAAGCGCCGTGCATTTGAGTGCTAAGCGCCATGCATTTGAGTGCTAAGCGCCGTGCATTTGAGTGCTAAGCGCCGTGCATTGCAGTGCTAAGCGCTGCAGCTCACTCACCTCCTGACTGACGTTGATGCCCAGCTGACTGCACAGGGAGCACAGAGGAGCACAGAGGAGCACAGAGGAGCACAGAGGAGCACAGAGGAGCACAGAGGAGCACAGAGGAGCACAGAGGAGCACAGAGGAGCACAGAGGAGCACAGAGGAGCACAGAGGAGCACAGAGGAGCACAGAGGAGCACAGAGGAGCACAGAGGAGCACAGAGGAGCACAGAGGAGCACAGAGGAGCACAGAGGAGCACAGAGGAGCACAGAGGAGCACAGAGGAGCACAGAGGAGCACAGAGGAGCACAGAGGAGCACAGAGGAGCACAGAGGAGCACAGAGGAGCACAGAGGAGCACAGAGGAGCACAGAGGAGCACAGAGGAGCACAGAGGAGCACAGAGGAGCACAGAGGAGCACAGAGGAGCACAGTGGGAGTGAGGGGGGTTGGGAAAGCACATAGGAGCACAGAGAGCAAGGATTGAGACAGGCGCACAGTGGGGGTTGGGGTGAATGGTAGGGAGGAGGAGAGCCGTGGGGGGGAATGCACAGTGTGGATAGAGCAATGATCAGGTGCCTACGAAGTGCATGGAATGATGCCCTGATTATCGAGGTGCATGTGCCTCGTTGGAGTTTTGAGGTGTCTCGAAACCGGGATCATCAGGGGGCGTGTGCCGCATTAGACAGACACAACACAAGAAGACGTGTATAAGCAGGTCACATGCATGCGATGCGAGCGAGTTGACTCTTGAGTAGATTCAAATGTCAACTCATCAGGGGGCATGTGCAGCATTAGACAGACACGGCAGCACACAACAAGGGAGTGTATAAGCAGGTCACATGCATGCGATGCGAGCGATCGAGCAGGATATTATTGTCGTTAAACAACTCGTAATCACTCCAGAGTGGACTGCTATTAACGAGAACATGATATGGGGTGCATCCGATAGGAAGCTCTGACGTCATCACAGGAACTTCTGGCATCACTATATGATTGCTGACGTCATGGCACTGGCCTCTTACCCCATGGCGAATTTCATCTCCATTTTGTCAATAGATCCTGCCAGTCAACGCCAGTCAACGCCAGTCAACGCCAGTCAACACCAAGGCCCATCAACGCCAATCCATGATAGCCAATGCCAATCAAATCCATGCAATATCATTCAACATCAGTCAAGGCATGCAGGATACATGTAGGTTATTTTCAGGTTCTGGCTAATGGTGAGTCTTTGGTCAACACTACCCCACACCACCTTGTGAAACTAGAGATGGAAATGAGACGTTTTGAGTATGCACGGCATGACAGGGCACGGGACGGCACGGGATGGCACAGCATGGCATGGCACGGCACGGCATGGCATGGCATGGCACACAAGGTATATGTAGATTACTTCAGGCTCTAATGAGTCGTGACTGTAGATTGTTTTTGCGAATTCTGAAAAACAATCTTCTAATGAGTCGCGACTGTGCCTTCGACACAAGCCACACATGCCACACACGACCTTATAAAACTAGAGATGGAAGTGCGACATGATAGGTCTGCACGGCAAGCTGCACGGCAAGGGACACGGCACGGCACGGCACGGCATGGCATGGCATGGCACGGCACAGCATGCCATGGGACGGCATGGCATGGCATGGCACGACACTGCATCGCATGGGATCGGATGGCATGGCACGGGATGGCATGGGATGGTGTGGCATGGCATGGCATGGAATGGGATGGCATGGTTTGGCGTGGCATGGCATGGCATGGCATGGCATGGGATGGGATGGCATGGGATGGGATGGCATGGGATGGGATGGCATGGCATGGCATGGCATGGTGTGGCATGGCATGGCATGGCAGGGACCGGCTGGCAACGCACAGGAACTACATGGAATCTATCCTGTGCAGCCTACAACCTGCCCTCTCACACCCCTCCACACCTCAACATACCACTCTATGAACCTCTGTCGTCCATTGCCCTCACATACTGCCCCCCACTGCTTCCCTCTGTCCCCTTAGCCCTGCTTCCCGAACCCTCTCTTCCCATCCATAAGAAACAAACCCATCCCTTGTCATAACCCAAGAATCATGTCCTAGAAGCAAGCTGAATATAAACGATATTCGACAAGAACGGACTAAAGGACCACTCACCCGACTTGTCTTTATCGAACACGCTGAAAATATCCTCAATCTTCGCGATTTGCTGCGGAGTAAGCCCCCGCGCCGCGCCAGCAGGCGGAGCCGCCGCCGCCGCCGCCGCCGCCGCTGCCCGCGGCGAGGGCGGCTGCGCCACTCTGGTTCGCGCCGCGAACATCCTGCTCGGATTGGCGCCCGCGAAGGACCCTCCCGCGAAGCTTCCCCCCACTCCCGCCGCGAAGCTTCCTACGCCAGCCCCTCCCGCCTGGAACTGCCGCGTCGATCCCGCGCCTGGCGGAAAGACCCGCGACGCGCCTGCGGCGCCTCCGCCGAAGACGCGGCTCTGCGCGCCGGCGCCGTGCGCTTGCGCTTGCGCGTGCGCGTGGCGGGTGCTGGCTTGCGCCATGATTGACGTGAACTGCCGACTGAACTGCTGCTGCGCTGCGCGGGAGCTTGCGCCCGGTGGCGGAGCTCCGCCGATCGTGCCTCCGCGAGAGGGTGCAGGTCCGCGAGTAGCTGACCCTGAAGGTCCCGCCGCCGCCTGTGGCGCGGGCGGAGGCTGGGCGGACCTGTTGGGCTCCCAGCCGCTGTTTCCGCTCGCCATGGCGGTGCTTGTGGCGTCCTCGTGTGCGCGTAGTGCGCGTAGCGTGCGCGCGGGGGGTGCGCGAGCGCGTGGCGTGCGCGTGGTGTGCGTGTAGTTTGCGTGCGGTGTGCGTGCGGGAACCTTGTGCGCGTGTACGTGTCTTCGAAACAGTGACGACACTGGGTAATAACGGGCACCTAACTTCTGCGACTCAAATCGTATGGACGAATGCGCGTAGATGGCGGGGAAGCAGTTGCGTCCGTGTTCGGTCTATGTCCACAAAAAATTGAGACGTCTCAAAACTCGATTCTATGTGCACGAACAGCTTGTATGCTGTGGGAGTAGTGAAAGCTTCAAAGGTGTGGGTGCGCACTTGCGTCCGTCTTCGGGTCTACGTGCACGAACAGCCTCCTGGCTGTGCAAGTAATGGAAATAACGCGGAACCACGATGCTGAATTCTGAGTCGACTCAAAACTTGTGATAGTAACGACGGCTGGGTGCACCAAGAGCATACGAATGCAAGCCAGAGGACGAGAGGAAAGGGCGAACGAGGGGTGTTGGCCAATGTCAGAGAAGGAATGAACGAGCGGTGCAAGTCAGAGGATGAGGACGGGAACGAGAGAACGAGCGTGTTGGCAAACGAAACAGGTTATGTCGTATCGCCTACTAACTACGCATCTAAGGAGTACTACGATAACTACCGCTCCAACTTCGGTCAGACGGCGAAGTGCACCGACAACAGCGACAGAGACCTTGCAAAGCCTAGTGCAGGAAACTCCGTTGTGATTCCTCTCACTCGACTATGCCCACGAATTCAAGGCTCGCGAATTCGAAATGAGGAGCCGAGCAAGCTTCAAGAACTTGGGTTTGGCATGGAACAGATGAGCTTCTGAAAAAGGGCAGCTCGACAACATCGAGGATAGCACAAGGAACGAGGCTTCGGGCTTGCCGTGTGCAGCGGGGCTTTTGGCGGGAAAGCAAGAGCTGGAAGCACGGAGGAACGCGTCAAGTGAAGAAAGCACAAATAATGAAAATCCCCGATACTAGCAGTTAGTCATGGTAATGCTGTTTTCCATCTGTACCAAGCTTAATAGCATAGACGGTGAATGACATCAAAAATCATGGAAACTGCTACACATCGTTATCCAAACTAATGGTTCCACGACTACAAAGCATAGCCTGATACCCCTGATCACAAAAAAAGGAAAAAATGTTTTACATGTTGCTCATTCTTTCTTCATCAGACAGGCATGTCTGCCTCTGCTGCTGGCTGGGTGGAATCGAGATTAGGCTGTGAGGGGAGGGAAGAAGACGACTGAAGCGGGAGGGGAAACGAGGGGAGAGGAGGGAAGAAGACGACATGAGAGGGAGGGGAAACGAGGTTAACGGGGGAAGGGATGATGGGATGGGAAAGAGAGTGTGATGATGGGATGGGAAAGAGGGAGTGGGATGATGGGATGGAATGAGGGAAGGGGGTGATGGGATGGGAAAGAGGGAAGGGGATGATATGGCGGGAAATAGAGCAGGGTTTAATGGGCCAGGAAAGAGAGAAGGGGATGATGGGAGGGGAAAGAGGGAAGGGGGTGAGGGATGGGAAAGAGGGAAGCGCAACACCCTCACCCGCCCAGCATCCCACCCCGCCCAGCATCCCACCCCGCCCAGCATCCCACCCCGCCCAGCATCCCACCCCGCCCAGCATCCCACCCCGCCCAGCATCCCACCCCGCCCAGCATCCCACCCCGCCCAGCATCCCACCCCGCCCAGCATCCCACCCCGCCCAGCATCCCACCCCGCCCAGCATCCCACCCCGCCCAGCATCCCACCCCGCCCAGCATCCCACCCGCCCAGTATCCCACCCGCGCAGCACTCCACCCGCGCAGCACCCCGAAAGCAGACTCGGAACCTACCTGCGAATCTTCCTCGTGTGTCACTTTTTCGCCTTTCCCGCCTTTTTTGACGCGCGCGCTTTCAGCATCTCCTGGATCGTCGAAGTGGATTCCGCCGGCCGCGGCTCGAGCCACGTCAGCGGGTGCCGGCGGAAAACGGGCCAATCGGGAACCACCACGAGGCACGCGAGCAACGTGGCGCCTAAATGGATATACATCATGAGAGAGAAAGAGGAGTAGAGGAATCCGGCACCGAAAGCTATGGCGGCTCCCGCGAGGAGAATAATTTGCATCAGATACTCCGCGAGGCGCTGGCCCTGCCAATCCATGGCGACTGTGGCGATATGGATTGCGGTGATATGGATTGCGGTGATGCGGATTGCGGCGATGCGGATTGCGGCGATGCGGATTGCGGCGATGAGGATTGCGGCGATGCAAATTGCGGTGATGCGGACTGCGGCGATGCGGATCGCGGTGATGCGATCACTGCGCGCGGGTTCGGCGGGTGCGACGATGCGGATTGCGAGGCAATGGCGAAGGCGAAATCTCAAAAAAAGAACGCGATACCCTAAGCACAGCTTGGGTTGCAGTGGCGAGATAAAGTCAGATTTGCTTGGACACGAACTAAAGTTCAGCTAACCGACTGGAGTGGCAAGTCTGAAGCTAGTCGAGCTTCAGTGTCCGCATCTGACGTTTCCCCTTACCAGTACCATAGGTGCCGTGGAAGTCGAATGAACCTGAAACATTGCTGGCAGGGAAGTGGCAGCCTTAGTAGGCTAGGAAAACGGGGATGAAGTGCTCTCTCGAATTCTCTCGAAATTGCATTATGACTTGAACAAATTTCACACACAATTTTATAGGATGCATTCACAACTCGAGTCGCACTCCCAAGTCGCGAAACTCTGAACTCTCAATGGTAACCCAACCCTTTGAAATGAACCTGCCGTGAAATTCAGAGACTCATTGCGATGCGGGATTGGACGGCGTGCTTGGTTATGTCAATATAGTAGCTAGATGTGAGGAGCCATGTTAGGGTGAAGAGGAGGAAGTGTCGAGAGAGTTTAGGCAAGGAAAGAGGGGTTTCACTATAGAGTTTGGAGTACAAATAGGAGGAAAAGGGGTAAACCACCAAACAGAATGCAATAACTACACTACTGCTAGATCTACATGCAGTTACAATAATATAATTCTGACATCCCCCCTTAACTGCATGCAGGAATAGCAAAGTGCAAATCACAACCTGCAAGTGTACTCAAAGCAGTAGCACGCAAGAGCAATGACAACCAGTGCAGTGGTGGCAGAGACAGCTGCAGCAAGCCCTGAGGCAAGAAAGAGAGAAAGAAGACAAAGTGCTGTGGCGCATCTAGTTTGCAGCTCAACAGCAAAGAAGACGAACGAGGCGTCAGGGGCTGCAGCTGTAGGTGCCACGGTAGCAGTGGGCGGCATCTGCAGATGCGTGGCTGCTTGTTCCTTCACTCTCTCTTACCCTCCCTTACCATCTCTCATCCCCCCCTCCCCCCCCCCCCTCCTACAGCAACAAGTGCTGCAGGGAGAGAGTAAGAGGGAAGGGAGGGAGGACGTCCCCCCCCCACCCCACCCTCCACGACGGGAGGAGAGTAAGGGAGGGCGGGTGGGAAGGGCAGCATCACCCGCGGTCGACGCTGGCGTGGGATGCTGGCGCTGGCACTGGCGTTGGCGGCGAGCGCTGGCGCTGGCGGCGGCAGGTGGCGCTGGCGCTGGCGCGTGCGACTGGCGCTGGCGCTGGCGTTAGCCGCTGGCAGATACGCTGGCGCTCGTCGCTGGCGCTTGTGCTGGTGCTGGCGCCTGCCGGCGTTGGCGACCGCATCGACGGTGAACGGGGGGCCGCTAGGCGACGAAGCGGGGGCCGCGGGGCGACGGAACGGGGGGCCGCGGGGCGACGAATCGGGGGCCGCGGGGCAACGAAACGGGGGGGGGGGGAACGACGGACGCGACGGGCGAAGGGCGCGACGGGACGAAGTAAAAAGTAGCGCATTTCGCGCTGCAGGAAGGGCGGGCCCATGTTACATAAAAAAAGGAAGGTTCTAGGAAAGAACCCGCTCTGACACTATGTCAAGATAGTAGCTAGATGTGAGGAGCCATGCTAGGGTAAAGATGAAGAAGTGTCGAGAGAGTTTAGGCAAGGAAAGAGGGGTTTCACTATAGAGTTTGGAGTACAAATAGGAGGAAAAGGGGTAAACCACCAAACAGATTGTAATAACTACATTACTGCTAGATCTACATGCAGTTACAATAATATAATTCTGACAGGTTACGGGGCTGTGATTTCGTCGGTGGTGTTGGCGAAGTCGGCGAGCGGTCGGAACTTTGGTGTTTTGCGTGTTGGGCTGAGAAAAGCCCTTAGGATCTTTGCAGGACTAAACTCATCGTAGGAATGATGTAATAGTGGAAGCGTTTAATGAAACTTGTTGAACCACCTTGCGCTAGTATGTGAGGGCAAAGTAGATTGATTAAAACAGAGAGGTACAAAGACTTTTATAAGAGTACAAGGAATATGAAGAGATATAACTAATAACTGTTTTACTGTTGCTGTTGCGGTTCGATACAGTGACGACTCGGGCAACTGCTCAATAGCGAGTCAGTTGTTTGTCCTTGCTGTCGCGCTGTACTTGTCAGGTCAAAGGTCGCTGACCTTTGACTTTCGCGTAACCTCCAGCAGTTGCTTTGCTTCTCAACTTCCGAGGGTTGACTCGCCGATGCTTCGTTATGTTTCGCTCCGTTTACGACTTAGAGTTTCGACACAACAGAGGCGCTTAAATCACTTGTTTCCAACACTCCCCTTCGCTTCTGGAGTGTCGTCGCTGATGACGTGGCTCTGTCCAGTCAGCAGCATGCAGTACTCGAACTTCTGCTTTCCGAGCTTCTTGGTCAAGTAGTCAGCTGCCATCTCGGACGTGGGGCAGTATGACAACTCAAGTCTCCCCTTCTCAATCTCGTCCTTCACGAAGAAGTATCGCAGGGCGATGTGCTTTGTCCTGTTCGCAAATCCGTTCTTGTTCGCGAATCCGTTCTTGTTCGCGATCCGAATTTCTGATTGGTTGTCGCAGAACGGGGAGAAGCTGAGTAACTGAGCCAGCTTCGCTTCCTCTAGCAGTTTGCGGAGATACAATCCTTCCTTGGTGGCTGAGCAGAGTGCGATATATTCTGCTTCGGCTGAGGAGAGGGCGATTAACTCCTGCTTGCTCGACTGCCACGAGATAGGTCCGATAGGTTCGAGGCGGTAGACGTAGCCGGTGCGTGAGCGCCTGTTGTCGGAATCTCCGGCGTGGTCGGCGTCGACGTAGCCGATTAACTTAGGCGTTGTAGTTCCGTTCTTGTAGTAGGTCAGGCCGATCGTCGAGGTGCTGACGAGGTAGTGAAGAGCGCGGTCGAGCTCCGCCATGTGTTCCGCTTCAGGCTTCTTAAGGTAGGTGGAGAGTTGACTTGCAGAGTTCGATAGATATGGACGGCAGGTGACAGCCGCGAAGAGGAGGCATCCCAGCTTTCTCTGGTAGTCGCGTATGCCGGCGGGTTTGAGAGGAGCGGAGCCTTCCTTGTGATTTCGTGCGGTGTAGCGGTATGACGTGGAGATGATGGTTGGGGTGAGTCCGAAGCGTTTGGCGATGGTGTCGGCGTATTTCGCGGCGCTGAGGTAGATTGCATTCCTCTTCCTGAATGTTGAGGCTGAGGTATTGTGTGACGGTAGACGAGACCGTGAGCGTGAGATCCTGCTGCAGCTCCCCTTCGAACCAGGTAGTGACGCCGTCGGTCGAGCCGATGTAGAGCATGTCGTCCACGTAGACAATGAGTAGAATGTAGTGGTTGCCCTTTGTGAGTCGGTACATGCCCTGGTCGTGCGGTAGCTGGCGGAATCCGATGCGGATGAATCTGGCGTGCAGGTACTACTGCCATAGTCTCGGGGCCTGTTTGATGCCGTACAGGGACTTCAGTAGCTGACAGACTTGGTTGGGCTCTCCGCTGGAGCCGTTTGGTAATTCGACGAAGATTTCTGTGTCGACAGGTGCGTAGAGGAATGCATTTGCGACGTCGATCTGTCGTAGCTTCTTTTTTTTCATGGCGGCGATCGCGAGGAGGATTCGTAGCGAGGTGTGTCGGCTGACCGGTGCGAACGTTTCGGTGAAGTCGCACCCATGCTCTTGGTCGAAACTGCGTACGACCCAGCGTGCTTTGAACTTGTCGATGGTGCCGTCAGCTTTCGTCTTCACGCGGAAGACCCATTTTCCGGTGAGAATTGTCTTGTTCCGTGCCACTCCGATGGGAACGACTTTCCAGGTGTTGCGTTCCTCCAGTGCTTTCAGCTCCCTGTCCATGGCTTCGCGCCATTTTTTCCTATGCTCCCCCCCCCAAGAGCCTGCTGAACAGTGGCAGGCTCCCTAGGAATCGCCGTGCCGTGAACCGCGGTGACGAGGCCGAGTATCTGGAGTCCACTTCGTGTGTAGCGGGGGAGTGTCGTATCCTCGGGATAGACTGCTTCGTCTCCCGCTTCTGGTGTAGGATTGAAATTTGGTCCTATGCGTTCTGCTTCGTCGGTGTTGACTTGTGCAGGTGTAACGTAACCGTTGTCGGCGAAGTGGTAGTAGGCTTCGGCGTTGATGCTGTCGCGTGGATTTTCTTCGTACGGAGGTACGGGTTGCTGCCCTTGGTACTTGTTCTGCCGGTTGTTGTTGTTGTTGTTGTTGTTGTTGTTGTTGTTGTTGTTGTTGTTGTTGTTGTTGTTGTTGTTGTCGTTGTTGTACTGACGTCTTCTTCTTGTGCCTTTCTTCTTGCAGATCCATGTCTTGCTGCTCGGTGTGTATCTCGGCGTAGAGTGCTGCTTCGGAGATTTTCCCGTGAGCTCGGAGTATGGCGCGAGTGGAGCTCCAGTGAGGACCAAGACCGCCGATGACAACTGTGACGAAGGCGTCTTCCGATATCGACCCTCCGCATCGAAGGAGTTTGTCGCGCAACTCGCGACAGCGACTGATATATGCCATCCTTTTTTCTCCCGGTTTCATTTCAACTGTTGTCAGTTACACCATTTATCGACTCTAATTGACGCTGTCCGTTGCTTGATACAGGTTCTTCAAGTGGTTGTACGCGAGCTCGGCGGAGTTGCCGTATCCCCGGTAAGACCGAATGTTCTGCTGCTGATTCGGAGTGATGTTCCTTAGCAGGATTGTGTATGCCATCATTGACTGATACGTGTACTGCTGCTTGTCGTACTGCGTCCCGTAAGTTGGATATGCCAGGGACCCGTCGAAGAAGCCAAGAATCTGCGCGCCTTCCATCATCAGCTCGAACTCGAATGACCAGGTAAAGAAGTCTTTCCCGTCGAACGGTCTTGATGTCTGTAGTTTTAAGATGTGCGCGAACTGCGACTGAACTTGAAGTGCGTTTGAGTGTCTTCTCTTGTCCAGGTGCAGGCTGCGGGTGTGGTATGAAGCTGATGGACCCGCGCTGGGGCTCGTACGGAGCAAAGGTAGGCTGCTGCTGTTGATTTCCGCGCGGGTAGGATGAGCCGTCGAGACTCATGGGCGTTAATTCGTTATTGTTGTTGCTGTTGTTTGACTGCGCAGGTGCCGATTGCTGGTGTTGCTCGTAGAAGGACATGAAGGAGAAGAATTTCTCCATCATGCTTGGGTCGAAGCCTGCAGGTTGGTTCGCAAGAGTTTCAGTAGACCGTGCTGCTAGTCTT